TGCGCAGACAATGCTGTACCTGTAGGGCGAGGATGTATATGGAGTTGGTTATAGGGATTAGGTTGCGATTTTCCTTTTCTCGAGGTCCCTTGTCTTAAAACCAAATTGCCCGACTATGTCCGTAGTTTTAACGTGACTTTGAAAATCTTCCACTGGTTTATTGTATTCTCCTAGGAAACGCTGTCGACGGATTCTACGCTTTTTGATCATGGTGTCTTCTATGCATTAATGACTTTGAGAACTTCATTTGTCTTGACATATTTATATTGGGTCTTTATCATGACCTATATAAATTCAGCCATCTCGTATAGATATACTAGACACTAAATGAGCAAACTGGAATAGGTAGGAAACAATATATCAACATTGAGTATATAATTCTGTATTCCACTCCACCACAAGTCCTCAGGACCACTAGATGTAAGATCATGCTTCAGCCCTTGTATTAAACCTATCTTCTTTACCATATTCTCTAGTTATTCAAATACATGGCTTGAGTACCACTATCGACATACTGGTAAAATCAGCACTTCATGTCACCAACCATGCCCTTATTCAACAGCACAGGAGTTGTGGGAGCTGTAGTTGCTAGACACGCACTTCCAGACCAAAGACACAAAAGCCGAGGTTCAGTGGAAGAAAACCCAATGGGTCTGAGATGATGTATATTGCAATCGATAATCAGCTGGCCAGCATCGCAGCAGCGCATTGCTGCATGGGTGATTGTTGCTCCTTTTGGATGATATATACTCCCTGAACTATAGAGAATGTAGGCAAGAAATCCATTTCGGACTTTTTGAATATGTATAGAGCTTAGCTTGATCAATCGAAAGAAAGGGAATTCCGAAGGAAAGGAATGTAGTGGCGACTGCTTTATGACAGCAGAAGGGAGGTTAAGGAAGTCAAGTGAGGAGGGGGTGGGGTTGCGAAAGGTCTTAGGGAAAGGTTTGAACGAGAGCGATGTAAGGTGAAGGTGAGTCGGAAAGAAAGTAAGGTAAGAGTAGAGTGAGGCGAAGGTAATACTTGGAAGACATGGCATGGACCAGAGGAGGATCAGTTTGTTTCTTCTTCACACGATGGGCCTCATCGACGATAACGGAGCCGAACCGATCCTCATGGTGTGTGGTCCAGTACTCGCTGTCATCTCTTGTGAAGGGTGATTGTGCTTGAGCACTCAAGGCCGCTTCCTTGTGAGGATGGGAAGTGTCCTGGTTTATATAGTAGGAGAAACCACGGTTGGAAGAATTAGAGTATCAGCTCAGCAGTACAGCAGTGCAGCGCACATCCAGTGTATATGTAGATCAATGGAATTCTTTCCAGTATGTATAATTTCGTGCATCATGTAGGAAAACCGGCGTTAGTTCAGGACAAATTCGAAGGGCCAATATTATAATAGGCAGTCCCAGGCAGAGAAGAAAGATGCGGAATACGAAGAACCAGAAAAAATAAACAGTAAACAAAAAAATCTATAAGATAGATAACCCAGGCAAATCATTTTCTCCATCCATATATAAAGCATCATGCATCAAATCAACATCACAATCAATATCAAATTTTAACGTTAATATCGTAGATATTACGCAGACCAAGACTCAAGTCCAGACAGCACACAACCCTCTTCACCCTCGGCGCGAGCACGCAGCTCACCAACGCGGTAAACAGACTCACCAGCAGCCTCGAAGGTCTGACGGATAGCAGCCTCAGAGGCAGGGTCGACGGCAATGATCATACCGACACCGCAGTTGAAGGCACGGGCCATCTCAACAGAGGAGACGTTACCGGCACGCTGGAGCCAAGTGAAGACAGAAGGCTGGGCCCAGGTGCTAACGTCAACCTGAGCAGTGAGGGTATCAGGAAGCATGCGGGGAATGTTCTCAGTAAGACCACCGCCGGTGATGTGGGCAAGACCCTTAATGGCAGAGCCGTGGGTGTTCAGTGCGCTGAGAATGGACTTGACGTAGATGCGGGTAGGGGTGAGGAGGGCACGGCCGACGGAGACGCCGGCGTCGAGACCGGGCATGGAGAAAGGTGCGGTGTCGGTGTAGCTCAGACCGGCACGCTCGACGATCTTCCGGACGAGAGAGTAGCCGTTGGAGTGGGGGCCGGAGGAGGCAAGGGCGAGAAGGACATCGCCGGAGCGCATGTTTTCTGTGTGCGGGAGGATGGCACGAGCGTTGTCGCCCGTGGTGTTGATAGCGCCGACGGCGGCACCGACGGCGTCGTAGGAGTCGTCGACGAAGAGGCCGGGCATCTCGGCGGTCTCACCGCCGATCAGAGCGCAACCGGCTTGGACACAGCCCTCGGCAACACCGGTGACGAAGGCCGCAGCGGTGGGGACGTCAAGGTGACCACAGGAGTAGCAGTCCAGGAAGAAGAGGGGCTCGGCACCTTGGACGACGAGATCGTTGACGTTCATGGCGACGAGGTCGATACCGACGGTGTCGTGGATGCCGACGGAGTGGGCGATCTTGAGCTTGGTTCCGACTCCGTCAATGGCTCCAATTAGGGTTGGCGAGTGAGGGTGGTAGACGGAGTTGGCAGCGGGCAGAGAGAAGAGACCACCGAAGCCACCGATGACGGCGTCAGTGCCGGGGCGCTTGGTGCGGCGGACGGAGCTCTTGATCTGGTTGACGAGCTCGTTGCCGGCGTCGATGGAGACACCGGCCTGGGCGTAAGTGAGCGAGGTGTTGGCGGTCTGGCGGAACGCGCGGTGGGCAATGTCCTTGCGGTAGAACATGTCCTCAAAGCTGATGGTCTTAATGCCCTCGTAGCTCTTAGCAACGGCCTCCTCAAGGGTTGGGGCGGTGGCCGTGGAGGCGATTACACGGCCTCCAGAGGTCTGCAACTCGTTGCCAGACAGAGTTGTGCCAGCGTGGAAAATGAGAGTTCCAGCAGGCGCGGGGGCCAGAGTGATGGTCTTGCCCTTGGCGTAAGCGTTGGGGTAGCCGCCAGCCACAGCAATGACGGTGGTGGAGAAGTTGGGCTCGATCTTGATCGAAACACCGTCCAGCCAGTGGTCAGCACAGGCCACCATGATCTGCGCAAGATCGGTGTCCTTGCTGAGCAGGGGTAGCAGAGTCTGGGTCTCTGGGTCTCCACCGCGGACATTGTATTCAAGGACCTTAGGTCCGTTCTTGGTCATCATGAGACCAGTGAACAAGATACCAACGAAGGGGAAACCTAGACAGGATTAGCAACATGCTTTGGAAATGCCTCTCTTAATCAAACATACCATCCTTTCGCATTCCGTCAACGGAAGGCTGAATAATGGTGCGGTCAATCTCATCGACAACCTCCTTCGGCGCAATGCGCGTAGGCGCATAGCAGCCCATGCCACCGGTGTTGGGGCCCTGGTCTCCATCGAAGATGCGCTTGTGGTCCTGCGCTGGAGGAAGCGAGCGAATAGTATAACCATCACTGAAAGTAAGGATACTCAGCTCATCGCCCTCCAAGCACTCCTCGATCACGACCTCGTTACCAGCCTGGCCGAACTGGTGGTCCACCATTATTTCCTTCAAGGCCTTGTGGGCCTCCTCCTTGGTAGTGGGCATGATCACACCCTTACCACCAGCCAAACCATCGGCCTTGATCACCACATTGTGCGACACAGAGTCGATGTAGCGACGTGCGGACTCGTAGTCAGAGAAGTTTCCGAATTCGGCGGTGGGGATCTGGTGACGCTGCATGAAGTCCTTGGAGAAGGTCTTGGAGCCCTCCATGCGGGCAGCGGCCTTGGAGGGACCGAAGCATCGAATGCCGACTGTTTTTGAATATCATTGTTAGAATAATTCAAAGCAATTGGTACAATGGGCAAAAAAAAAAAAAAAAAAAAAAAGACTGCCTAGAAAAAATGGAAGGAAAAAAGTGTCATGCATGACTCACCAGCCTTGAAATAACCCTGGATGCCATCAACCAGAGGTGCCTCGGGGCCTGGCACCACGAGGTTCACCTGGTGCTTTTGTGCGAAAGCCACAAGGCCGGGGTAGTCGTCACCCTTTACATTGGCATTGGTAATCTTGTTGTTGGTACCCAGGCCAGTGCCACCGTTTCCGGGAGCGACATAGACAATGTCGACCAAAGGGGACTCGCTGAGCTTCCAGGCGTAGGCATGCTCACGGCCACCATTGCCGACAATGAGGATGCGCAATTGTTCGGAGGCCATATTTGGAGAAGCGTCTCGACTATGGTGGTGTTAGCAATTAGTATATAAAAAACCTCCGCGGGGTATGTAGTGCCCCTCCTTCAAGGAAAGCAAGTCGTAGAGCAATGGAATGGGGCGAATCAATTGGGAAAGACTTGACGATAAGAACCTCAACACATTACTTACCTCACAGAGACCTGAGAAGCAACTTCCAAGGTTGTATGGAGGGGAATGGGAGATTTGAAGATGTTAAACTTTCCAACTTTTTTTCTGCCCTCCGGCTGGGTGTTTCTCCGACCCCAGAATTTCTTGGGATCTCGGCTGAGGCAAATATTTTATACTTCCAATTAAAGGTGAATTTGAACGAATTGAAGGGATTTAAATGGACTTAAACGGATTTGACAGTTTAGAACTGATTTTATATGCCTCATATTATAGTACTAAAACTAGATAGAAGTATAGGATTCTATACAATTGCAAATGAATCTATCTCTCTTGTACAATATAAGTCTAAGAGACACGGACTTTGTAGTCACTTTATAACAATATAGTACACATGTGTGCCTTTGAAATATGAGATAAATACATGAAAAAACTAAAACTAAAACTAATATTCTGGCCTATTGTCGTTTCATCTCTCCAATATTAAATATCGCCACCTCAGGCATCCAGGCACCTAGATAACAAAGCGGTGACCCCAATCTTCCGGCAGAAAAAAAAAAACCGGAGAGGCAATTCTAAGGTTCGCCCGGTGGCTTATTGACACCTTTGAATTCTCGAATTCTGCTCTCCAACTACTTTTGGGGGGGACTTCTACATTTATATCCTTTCCCCGATTATCCGTCAACAGTTGACCTGAATGCTTCGGACCTCTTTGCGGTCTGTGTCAGGCCCTTCAAGCCGACATGTTCGTCTCTCCTATCTAGCGCGCCCTGGCGCGCCCAGTTTGCGCCAGTTTCACCGCATATCTGCACTCCGTACCGATTCAGTCGAAACCAAGTTGGAAACCAATTCATTTGACGCGTCGACCGAGCCTTCAGTGCCATTGCCGCCCAATGTATGTCCTACGTTCTAAAGTCCGTGGGAAAACGAGTTTTAACAGAGTGTGTGCTATAGGATCAGATTCCAGAGACAAAAGATGTCGCCTCTGGCAGACGCCATAAACCCCAGTCGGAAGAACAGAGACCACTCACTGCTTCCGTATGGGCTGGGATGAAGTCAAGACAAAAATATAATTACAGAAAACGGCATCCCTTACTCTACGACAAGTTCAGGATGGAAATGTTAAACAAAGACATTGCACCTTCCCAAGCAGCACAATCAAAGGGACCACTATCGGAAGCCGCCCAGCCAGAGGAAGTCCCGTCAGAGGAAGTCCCGTCAGAGGAAGCCCCGTCAGAGGAAGCCCCGTCAGAGGAAGCCCCGTCAGAGGCAGCCCCGTCAGAGGCAGCGCGGGTGGAAGCAGAAAAAATTAAGGCCTTGCAACGCAAGGTGATTGAAGCGGATATGGAAGCCAAACGGGAAAGAAAGGCCAAAATTAAGCAGATGTCGAAGAAAAAGGAGAAAGAAAGTCAGTCCGAAGCCGAAATTCCAACAGAAGGCCCATCAGGTACGCCAGCATTTAGTGAGCCCAAGGAGAGCACCCTCAACTTGAAGTCCACTAGCAATGTAGTGGCTCAGACATTGGAAACCAGCCCCAAGAGCGGTTTTGCAAGTCAAAATGAGCCATACGAGAAGCCGGACGAGAGCGAAATTATTTCTTTTATGAAAGACCATATCACGTCCAAGGACCACGGTTCTCTTTCCTCAAGGGACGAGAAACTGTTCATGAAAGGTGAGTCCTGAGCTCTGACATGACCGTTGAATGTGAGCTAATTCTACTCAAGAATTGTCTGTCCCCATGTCTCCTGTTCCGCGCGTCGCCTTTGGTCTTGACCGAGTGCTTTTCAAGTGAGTTGTTGAGTTTACCCTATCACTGATTGATATACTAAGACCAGGCAGTCCCGGTGTCTACCAGCTACGTGACCCTCGGTCTCTTGTCTACAATTTCGACCCCTACCTAGGCCACATCATGCCCGTGACGGAATTTGACTTTGCTGCCCTGAAGCCGTATGTCACCTCCTCGGAAGATGTGACGGCTCGCGAAATGACCGAGAAACACGAAAAGAAGTACTACGGCTCGTCGTCTAGCATGACATCAGTTCTCACACATTTCCATTATCTTCTGTCCGCGTGGCGACCTGTTGACACTAAAAGGATTTCTCGTGGTTTTGATGACCCTCTGCGGACCTTCACCCGTCTCCTTCGAGCGCCGACTGCCATGTTCCTCCGTTATAAGGAAAAGGAGGATATTTACGCCATTGATGCCGACAAGGAATACGACTACGCCAATATTCTTATGAACCTGGGCAAGTCAATGGAGAAGCAACTCACGATGCCAAAAGAACAGTTTGAGCGCTACCGCCGCAGTGATCCAAACAAGATCACTGCCGAGGAAGAAGCAGCCACCCCGGAGTCATACCACTACAGCACCGCAGGCAAATTCCTCATGCGATCTCAACTCGACGCCTACGATCCTAGACTGCCAGGTACCGGCATGTTCGACTTGAAAACACGTGCAGTGGTTTCGATCCGCATGGAAGCCACCGAGCACGAGCGCGGAATGGGTTACGAGATCAGACGTAGCCATGGCAAGTGGGAGTCCTTTGAACGCGAATACTTCGACATGATCCGCGCCGCCTTCCTCAAGTATTCCCTGCAGGTTCGCGTTGGCCGCATGGACGGCATCTTCGTGGCGTACCACAATATCGAGCGCATCTTCGGTTTCCAATACATCCCTCTCGACGAGATGGATGAGGCTTTGCACGGCACGCCCAACACTACACTCGGAAACAAAGAATTCGAACTGAGTCTTGGCCTGTGGGAGAAGATCCTGGACAAGGCAACACAGAAGTATCCCAAGAAATCTCTACGTTTCCACTTTGACACCCGCGAAACTCCCTCACCCTACATGACCGTCGTCGCGCAGCCCGTCACGGAGGAGGAAATCGAGGCCATCCAGACCACGAACAAAGCCCACATCGATGCCATCCAAGACCGTCTCCTCAACCCGGAACAATTCGCCGACAGTACCCCGGAGGCAACCGGAGAAGCCTCAGTTGATGAGTTTTCCGACGAGTTCGCCGACGAGGCAGCGGAAGACGAATCTCTCTATGCGGAGGAGGAGCCAGCCGAAACCGAAACCGAAACCGAAGCCGGAGCCGGGGATTCAATCGATGGCGAATTCCGCCATAGAGAGGGGGAGCCAGCCGAAGCCGAAGCCGTCAACCTACAGAATGACCCCCCCATCAAATCCCTGGCCGACACGCTCTTCCCCAAAGAGGAAGGCGAGGAAATATCCGAAGCCGAAAAGTCCGAATACCACCCTTCGATCGAGCTCGAGCAGACCCCGGAGCCGATCGTTCCCACCAAGACCGTACCGGTGCGCAAGCCCTTTGAAGAGGGCGAAGGCGACGAGGACGTGCTCGGGATGCTAGTCGTTGTACACAGTAAGGTGAACGAAGTTCCGGTGCAGCGGCCGACGTGGTTCACCGTGAACGACAAGTGGGAGCTTGACTACGAGATCAACGAGCTTGATTTGAAGGAGAGCAATGAAGCTCTGCGGATGTGCAAGAGGCGTCGCAATCAGGTATTAAGAAAGACCGTGACGGATCATGAGGCTGGTTTCTTCCGCACTTTGCAAAAGGTGACGAAAAGAGGACGTGCTTGGCGGAAGCGGATGGATGAGAAGGATCGTGAGCGTGGGATTCTTGTTTATAAGGATTCTTCTGACATGTGAGGTATTACTCGGCCCTCTGATTTGTATTGGGGGAGGATTTGGGGGATTGGGGGAGAGAGGGAAATCTCCGTTTTGTAAAATATTAGATTAATTCCTCTCCCATTGTACTTTATTTTGAGATATACATTCATGGCGTTGGTTTTACATAGTTGGACTACAATGCGTTTTGGTTGGATGTTTGGGTATTCCCGTTCATGTACAAAGATTGGCTGGGATTTGGAATATATAGGGGATCATATTATATCGACTTTTTCGCCTTTCCGTTCTTTTTCTTGTCAGTATTGGTCATTCATACTATATGTTCGTATACCAGCTTTCTGTCAGCCTGGATTCCCTATATAGAAAGTTTCACGCAAATGTAACGGATACAAAGCAACATCACTAAGTACCGGACATCCATATATCTATTGAGGCAATATCCCAAATATATACTAATTTAACTAGTTATCAAGACACAAATTTCACGTCAGGATATGCTACAGAAGGGCCACTCAGCAATTCTGACGTGTGCCCATAAACAAAGTACTGCAGTGTGGCAACGATGTAGGAAGTAATCACATCCTTAGCCCGCAAACCACCTATTGTCCCAATACGATTGGCCTGAATAATTTGTCGAACTTCGTCCGAAACACTCAGAGCATCAACAAGCACTGGAAAGTCAGAAAAGGTATAGTGTTTAGACTGTGAGAGTTGTAGCTCAAGTTTCCATCCTCGTAAATGTGACCAAAATATTGCCCAACTGGGATCTGTTGCCTGGGTGTGGTTTGTGTTACTGAAAAGCAGGAATGGACTCGACAGTCCTTTGTCCACGACAGGCCCCCATAATTCACCATCTAGATTGATACCCCCGGCAAACCGATTGTCAACTAGCATTGTCTGCGCTGCTGTTGCTCCGCCGAGGGAATGACCAAGGATTGTTACTCGATCAAGAGAGAGTAGATGCAAATTTCCCTGTGACAAAGGGAATAGGTCTCTGATCACTTTTTCGTCGTGCATTTGATCAAGTAAAAATACCATGTCCTTAACACGGACGTTCATTGCTGGATCATATTCCGTTGTACTGATGTTTCCGAGTATTCCGAGAACCGTGCGGCCATCGGGATATTCCACGATGTCCGCATCATACGGGTGGTCGACGGAGACTACAGCAAATCCGTGACTCGCAACTTCTTGAAGCAGCAATGTGTACATCAATCTTGAGGTTGCCAGTGCCGGTGAGAAAAGCACTACTGGGTAACCTCCGTGGGGTCTGAAAGGCGGTAGCTGCTGTGTCTGAGTCTGGATACGAAAGGACTCGAACGTTCCTAGAGGTACTCCAAAAGACTGGAAACGCTCATCTTCATACTTTGCTGTTGCATTCGGCATGTAAGATGTAGAGGGTACACTTCCGCAATTGACAGGTGTAAAGGTGGTGACCATGATAGAACGTTGACCTCCTTTTAGGTCATAGGGATCGGTTCGAGACATGTCAACTAGTTCACTTGCATGAAGCGTGACATCGCATGGTCCGGTGCTTGAAGGGAGAGGGACGATTGCCGTTTGCCCGAGGCTGATGAAAAGAAAAGTAATTGAGTGCAGGATAGCCCGAATCATTTTGGCGGCTCTCTGATAAATATGAAAAAGAAATACGTATTATAAGATGGAATTATCAGGGGAGTCCCATCGGCAAACCATCCTGTATATATACTTGACTAACTCGAGACACTAAGTGATGACCCAGTTCCAGGATATATGAGGCATTTAAAGGCGTTTGCGGTATTTTCCGCTATTGGCCTATATCATCGGGCTGAAGATTCATCGGCTCGGTATATAGAAACTGGAGAGACCGACGATGATGACAACTGGATACCACGATATTCGCGACCAGGCAACCGAGAGCCATTTTGCGACGCCGGGGCTATGCAATGTAACCTCTGAAGGGATGGACGGAGCGGGACATGCGGCATCGAAGGAATATCGGCATATTATAGATATGAAGGAGGCCGGCGGTCCTTTGGACGAAAGCAAGGGTACCGACACGAAAATAGCTAGGATGCCGCTGTGGCCTGGATCATCCTAGTGGTTCTGCTCCTAGATGACATATATTATAAACCCGGTGTCGGATCGAACGGCAATTCCCATCAAGAAAGGGCCAGTACGTCAAGCTAAAAGCCAAGGTATAATCGTCGGTGGGGTGGGGGGCCTGAATTTGGGGTCTAATTTTGCTTGAGGGTTGGCAAAAACCTCAGGTATTGAGGCACGAGAATCGGGACTGCTGAACAACCCCATGTTCTTGGGCATATTAGTGATAGAACGCCGAAACATCGACTTGTATAATTTGAAACAATAGTCAGGTTCGGCTCAAAAATGTATTCGATTTCTATTATAAACACCCGGTTATAGGTTTACACCTGCTGATCAATACCTTGTTCATATGAAGTATGAAGCGGGTCATATATATGCAGTTCGGACGCTTTTAGCCTCAAGTCAAAGAGAGTGGGAAGAGAGGTTGGAGGGACCAACGATAAAGACAACCAGGTGCCGATGCAGTCAGCTTCACACGCCTCACTTCGTTCGAGGTCCCGGCGTGGCGAAGATGATTGTTCAAAAAGTGCCTTATGCCACTGGATAGGGCGACAAGGCCGCAGCACCTACAGTCTCCAGGAAACCGAGCCGCGACAGAACATAATAGAGACGACAACTGGGATATATACATAGAAGCGACTCAGACGGGCAAGCACCAGAACTAGATTGAGGGTTTAAGTCATCGAATTGGGGCAACGTCTGCATGGAGGAAAGGGTTATCCAACATGATCTGCCAAAAGGATTGCGCCGCAAGCACAATTAGAAGAAACTATCTTCGCGTACTCATATTCAGCTCTAACCTTAGAAATTATTACATCTTCCATATCTGGAGGGGCCAGCGGCATGACCATGGCTTATTTCAAGACACAACTTGACCCTAGCCGATAGATGGAGAAAGCATCAGTTGTCAACGGGCAAGCAAACATAGCTGGTAATTATACTAATCGGTTATCTGTGGTCGAAGAAATAAAATGAAACAGACCAATATGCTTAGGGTATGTGAAGGCTATTACCCCTTCTAAGGAAGATCTTATCTTAATAAATATAACTAGCTATATTTACTTGCTAAGCCTAGCTAGAAGAAACCAGCATATGATGGTCTGAGATAGGTGAAATATAGAGACTAGAAGCCAAGATGGACACATTGTAGATATTGACCGATTCCATTTGATTTAAACATTGCCCTCTTTACATAAAAAGTCTTCCATGGCTTTGATAGTCCTTACTGGGATTCCAAAAGGGCTTTGAACAAAGATTCCTTTCCAAACGCACCTTAGGGTCGTCGAATTCCACGCACTTACCATCGGCCATTACTGCCACACGATCACAATCCACTGTCGTATTCGATGTGCAACCACGATGAGTGTTCGGTCCGCAAACTCGGAGGTGATGGTGGTTTGTATCAGCTTTTCCATTCCAAGGTCCACACTGCACAGAAAGGAGACAAGATAAGCATATGAACAACACAGCCAACAGCCAATAGTCAATAGTCAATAGTCAATAGTCAATAGTCAATAGTCAAAAGATATCATCATATACTTGCTACTAATCTCATCCAGAACCACAACCTTGCCGGGTCTGAGTAATGCTCTGGCAATACAGAATAGTTGCCGTTGGCCGTGACTGAGCGACTCCTTTTTTAATTCGACGTCCAAGCCTCCATTCTGCTCAATCAATGATCAATGACCACAACTACTCAGTCTTACTGGAGACTAGGAAACCAAACATAAAGGAATAATGGTGCTTTAATGCCTATCCAAACAGTATTCAATCCCCAGAACGAGAAACGAGGAACGAGGAATAAGGAACAAGCGTAAAGCAAAACACCACCACAAAAAATATCAAACAGCCCAAGCCCCAATAAACATTAGCCATGGAGGCATGCACGAGCGCCATTAACCCGTAAAACGAGGACGCTTTCCAAGAGCAAGAGAGCAAAGAACAGGCCAAGCGATGATGGAAGGATATTGATTGGAGGACATCAATTGTGTTGGGAAGAGATATTGGCATAGAAATTGAAAGTTCAAGATGAGTAAGTATGGAACGCCTGGAGAATGCGGTGTCTCTGGGAAAAAGAAATTGGAACGCCAGGGTATCAGAGCCGACTGGGCAGTTTCGAGAAATGGGAATTGGTTGGAGGTTGGGTGGTTGATGAGTTAATGAGTTAATGAGTAAGATAAAATATGATTCACAGGGAGAAAGAAAAAAAAAAAAAAAAAGGAAAGAAAGAAGGGAATGCAATCACAACCTGGCTCGTCGTATATATGCACTGCGAGAGTCAGGCTTCGTATCGTGTTGGGTTGAGGTGTGGAGGATGCTGTACAAGGTAGAAGAGGGGGTATTTTGATATGTTTATGGAGGGTAAGGAAGGCTACTGGAGCCCTCCCAAGTCAAGCTTGGGTGGCGCCCAGTCTAGCTGGGGCGGCTTGTCATTGTTGACGCACACAGGCGAGGGGCGCGCTGCATCAGCACGGCGACGTTCCCTCAACGCGGTGCCGCTGAGGAAGCCTCTTAGGGTAGATGAGGCAACGCCGTAGGCGCTTCGCGTACTGCCTGCGCCTATTGAGGCGTTGCTGGACGAACTGCGTGCACTGCGGACGCTCTCTGCTTTCCCGACTGCTGGGGGAACAGCTGGAACCGGGAGAGCTAGGTGAGAGGCTTGGCTTGAAGAACCATGGCTGGATGGAACGAATTGTGCAGGAGCGGCGGTATGAGGGCGGCGGGTATTTGATGGAATGCGTTTTGGCTGAACAGCGGTGGTCTCGATGTTCGACAAGGACTGGGAGGGGGTGTCAGATGCCTCTGAAAGTCGGATGACAGCAGGAGACTCATCCGGTGGCGAGGACCGGATCTCATCTGCCGACACGGACACATCGAATTTGAGATTGTCAAGCATTGTGCCCAAGCTCGCTGCTGTTCCGGGTCGTCCATCGCTG